AGCAGGAATCTCAAGCCTCTCTGCTGAGGACGGGCCACGTGTACCGGGAGCAGCTGGGGGTACGTCCCCTCAGGGGAAGACGCAGGAGTTGAGGAGTCTGAGGCTGTGGCTCTCCAGGCCGGCACACGTAGGGAACGGGTAACTTGTGTAAGCGGCGTGATGGGAGAAGGGAGGGAGGAGGATGATCCCGGAGGTAGAGCGTGAGAAATGAGAGGACAGACCACAATGTTTTTACAGTGAGGAAGGAACCTGTGCTAAATTGTTTTCAATTAATCAGCACTAACTGAGCTCATTAAATTGAAATTATTTCATACACAGCCACAAGAGAGCGCTTGAGAAAAGCTCTTTTAGAGGGAGATCCTGAAACCCTTCACTGCTGGCAAAGTTGGGCCTCAAATCCACCCAGTGAGGGAGGAGACACGGGTTTGAGATCGGTCTCATGTCCTTGCTCAGCCCTCTGTCCTGAGATAGCCTGGAGGGGAGCAAAGGCAGGGCATGGAGCAGGTTGCTCCTGGGAGTCTTGCAGCAATTCGTGTGCAGACGTTACCATCTCTTCTCTCACGCGTTACAGCCTCGCCACTGGGCCCTGGCTGGCCAACTGTGCTGGCCGTGGTCCACCAGGTGCTGTGCACTGCTGCTGACGGAGGTGGGTTTCCATACCAGAAACACCTGTGTGACAGAGCCAAGTTCTGCTGCCTTCAGCCAAAAACACTCCCAGTCACCCAGTGTTTGATAAAACCGTTGGGGCTTGCTGGGCTGACTAGGACACTTAGGAAAGAAGCTAATAACCAGATTTAACTGGATGACTCAAAGATGTAGAGAACAAACGGATCGTATATGGGCCTTAATACAGACCCTATTCTCACTCCTTGTTTAAATCCCAACACCAAGGGCTCATTGGATGTAGCGTTTTTTGGTAGGTTTTTCCCCAAGCAGTGGAAGAAAAGGAGCAACAGCCAGATGCTGGAGCTCCCTGGATGTGGGAGAGCTGCCAGAAGACCTGTCCAGCTGGGGGTCCCCGCTCTGCCCCAGCGGCCGCGGTGGCTGCGGCTGGCCCAGCCCGTGCTTGCAGGATTCGTCCAGAGCAGCTACTGCAGCACACGGAAAAGACTGTGACTGAGGCTCCCTGGAGCCAGATAGCCTGCGCAACAACAGCCCTTGCTAACCAGACCTTAGGGTCTGAACTGGCTCCAAACTCTTCATGGAAAATCAACTGACATGGGATGTTGTGCGTGGCACTGCTACAGCGCTCTGTCGCTAAAGGCAAAGCAGCTTCAAGGTTGCACCTACAGAAATCTGTATGGTTTAGCCTCAAGACTAATCCCACATCTTAGGAACAGGCCCTGATTTTGTATAAGTATCTCTCAAATTATCATTGCCTGCATTCTCCTCCCAGGTCAGGTTTTGTCTTGACAACAGCCTGATTGCTCTGACATGGTAACATTATTCCATATTTATGCTGGTATGTGAGAAAAACCAGGGCCAGTCAGGCCTAGTGGGAACCACAGAAGGCAAATCCCAGCTGTCTTCCCAACATGTCCCTCATAATTAGAACCTTTTAACATGATAATTTTGCAAATGGATTTGTCTCAAATGGGTCTGAAAATCAGAGTCTGCAAGTGGAAATTCATCCTCCCAACCCCAGCCTGGAGGAATCCATAAATCTCAGGTCCAAAGTAAGAGGTTTTCACCATGGAAATGAGAGTCCTGGCCCCCCTGGGCTTGTTAGTGTGGCTCACGGGCAGGGAGCAGAGATAAGCTACCTCCCGCGCTCCAGTTTCATGGGACAGGAAGGGGTCCAAGCCTGGGAGAAACAAAACAGCATTTCTGGGTGAGCAGCGCTCAGCCCACAGAAGTCAGGGGTATTTTTCTCTGCTGGGAAAACATGGGCATTCACTGAAACTCTTGGAAGTGCCACCACCTCTGCTCCCGGAGGATCAGTTTCCACTCTTATCACCACAGTAATGCTCTCTGTGAGGCAATGTGATTTTCTTCTATGTAAACAGCAATAACTTCAGAATTACTCAGGAAAGACAGAGACCTCAAGAGATGTTGAAATTACTGGCTATCTCATTAATCAAACATAAATGCAAGACTAGCAAAGGCTCTAGTTGCTGAGCTGGAAAATGCTTAAATTCATTTATTGAGACAGCAGGGAAAATCTGATCCCTGCCAAAGCTTGGGAGGTCTGAGAGCGTGGAGGTGGCTGCTGATGTGCAGCGTTTGCTGTGGTTGTTCACGGATGCTCGGGGCCTCTGCTGGCCCAGGTGCGAGCTCTCTGCATGGTGGCTTGCACCTGCCTCCTCATGAGCTGAGCTTGGCCCTTTAACCAGACTGAGTATGAGCCTGGGTGTTGGGCAGCTGGGCCCAGAGAGTCACACCGTCCTGGATTTCTGCACCATCTGCCTGGATCAGCAGGAGCACCTGCATGCAGGAGCTGGGATGTGCTTCCAGCCAGGCATGCAGATGGGACAAGAGCCATGAGAGATGTAGCAAGGCTATGTCATCTATCCTCCTGGGTTGCCATGCCAACAAGGAGGAGACAGGAACTGATTTAATTTGCAGAATCACCCTCTTGACACAAAATGCAAGCAGCTCGTGAGGAGTAGGGTGAAAGATGTCAAGGGAGCAGGGAGAGAATCTCCATGCCTCTCTGCATCCAGTTTCATTTATGCTATGTTTCCTTTCTCAGACATGTCTGTTACAGACCCAGAAACACAACAGCCAGATATAAGCTCAAGAGAAGGTCACCCTCTTCTTTCCATGCTCAAAACCAGTGAGGACTGTGGTTGATGGAGACTCAGCATAAGAGAAAATACCATTCCTCCCTAACCAGCTTCTACCTGCACTTGCAGCCCGAGGAGGCTCTTTCTCTGGAGAGATGTCCAAGGATAACGTTCAGAAATGATAGCCTCTGCTGTGCATCTTGCTCAGTGGTGCTCTTGAGGGCACCTGCGTGTAGCAGGATACGTCATGTCCGGCCACCTTCAGAGCCCTCCCAGGGGCGTCCTCCTGAGTTGCTGATCATGTTCATACCATAAAAACTGTCCCTGGAGACATGGGGAGCTCCATGCTCTGCTGCCACAAGCAGGACATGTCCCGATGGCATCTCATGGTGAGGAAGACCTGTGTAAAAGGGAGCAGGGCACAGGGTTTGCCTGTGCCACTCTGCTCTGGCCAGCTGCAGATGCTCACACCCTTCTCGTTCCAGCTTTCCTTGCCCTCTGCTGATAGACCTTTTCTCCATGATATTTCTAATGTGTCAGTCACAGCAAAATCCAGGGGCTTTGTTCTGAAGCATCAGTGAGGTCATAGATGTAAAAAAGAAAAATTATTATTTCTTTAAGCATCCTGTGGGTGATGCTCAAACAGTCCTTCTCCGCAGGAGCCTCCGCTCCACCCTTCCTCTCTACCCTTTTTGTGTATTCTGCCAACCTGTGCATCCTATTCTAACCTAGGTTATAAACTCATTAAAAAGACCCTGTCACCAAAGTGTTTTCAGCATGCCTGGCAAGGGACCCAGCTCCTGGCCGTGGTTCTTCCTTGTCAGTATGATGGATGTGATAAACAAAAGTAACGGTGGACACAGTGTTCTTAACAACAACACAACATTTAATTCTCTGTTCCTGCTTCAGCCTCTAATGTGAAATCAGAAGAAATACAGATTGTTCCTGGAAATGGTTTTGGAGTTTTCACAGCTGCCTGGAGCAGCTAGGATCACAGGATCTGGGCAGTTGTCTCAGCATTGCACTGCGATCATCACAAATCAATATCCCAAATTACCTCTTCATATGGAAGGTGCTTTGCTAATTTTCATGGATCCCCTGTGTTTCATGCCCTTGCTGTCCTGTCACGCACTGATAGTTTTAGTCCACAAGCTACAGTGCAATATACTTATGAGTAATAGCATCTTATTGGAGTGTAAAGATCTTCCTATTTCACTGATTTATCCTGCATTTAAACTAATTCAAAATTCACTTACTTCAGAAAGTACTGGAAGCAAAATGCTCTCTGTAAACAGCCTAGCTTTTTCTAAACTGCTATCTCTGAAAGGGAAGATGGAATAACATGCACTATCTATTTTCTCTTGGAGGTAGCATCACTGCATTATTTTGACTGTTTTCCATAACGAGGGCTAGAGTTGATTCTACCCTATAGAAGAGGCTTATGGGCTGACAAGGACTATTTAACCTTTTTGTCTGAGTTTTTAGGAACTCTGCTCAGATTAATCTGAAGTTCGCTTAAGTAGCTGGTTAGGTGGTCACTTTGCTTTCAGTTCGCTGCATGGTGGATTTCTGAAACACAAAACGCTAGATATCAAAACCCAACCCCCTTTCATTTGCGTTGTGGGTTTTTTTTTCTTTTTACCTCCCCAAATATTTTAGATACTCTTTCAAGTTTAATGAGCTGTCGCTTATCACGTCATGGAAGAAAAACAGAACCTGGCTAGGACTGGTTATATTGCTCAGCTGTGACAGAAAGCTGAAAAGCTAGACACGTGAAAAGGGAGAACGAAACAAGTCACGTGAAAGCAAGCGCCAGAGCCTGGTTCCCAGCACACTTGCTGCAACCAGTATGATGGGAAGGAGGGTGGGGAATCTTCACTGCAGACGAGTTTTGATTAACACCGTGTGAAAACTTCCAGCTCATCCTCATCAGGGAGGCTGCTTTCCCTCCCGGGTCGCTGGTTCCAGCCTGGAGCACCCCAAAATGAAGAGTGCAGGTCTGAGAGGAGCTGGGAACCGAACCGGTGCCGGCGGCAGCGAGAGCGATGGCAGGACTGGACCACATTGGCAATCTCGGCTAGACGCCGAAGGCTGCCGGAGGCAGGCGCGGCACCGGCACCGGCTGCGTGCGCTCCCAGCCGGCGCCTCCTGCTCCTGCCCGGAGCAGACGGCCAGTGTCCGGCTCCGCCGAGGCCGAGCCCTGGTTTCCGACCAGAGCCAGGGAAGGCCAAAGGGGAGGAGGGACAGGGAAGAGCGCGGTCCAAGCGCAGCGACCCAGAGAGGAGGGCTGCCGCCCTGCTGCGGTTCCTGACAGCCTCGAGGGAGGCGATTTGGGGACGCATGGGCTATTTTCCCTCTCCGGCACTGCTCGAGAAGGGAACGTGGCCCGTGTGCTTCGCTGCGGAGAACGCCCTGTCCTGACACACGGAGTCACAGGCTCATAAACGTCTCTTGGCTGGCGCACCACCAGACCTCGCTGCTCCCAGATAAAGCCAGATGTCTTACATGAGCCAGCTCTGCCTAGAAATCGCACCTACAGCCAGACTGAACCACACGCTGAATACCTCTGCTCTAAGCCAGCACAGCAGGGGACAAGCTCAAACTGCAAAGTTTATCATATGCCAGTGGGAGAGTGGGTGACAAGCTCCCATTTTGTGCAGTCTGCTGAAGACCTGATCTACTGAGGATAGATCCTATATCCTCTTTCCAAGACTTCTCCCTGCAGCACTGAGCTGCTTCCTGGTCCTTTCCTTAATCCCTCGATACTCTGGTGCTCCGCCGTTTGCAGCGGTGGGATGCCAGTCCTGGACAGCCCTGCAGTCCCCAGCGAAGCCTTTCAGAGACAGAAGCCCTGAACGCTTGCAGGCTCAAAGGGGCTCCTCTGAACTAAACTATCTGAAAAGCCTTTTTTCCCTCTCTG